ATAAGTTTAAAGGTAAACCACCAATGGTTGTTACATTTTGTATATACAAAAAAGTTCTTATGATATAACGATTTTTACTATTAAAAATAAAAAAAGTTCGTCGCCAATCATATTTATCCTAATATCAGCCAATCAAAACAAACTTCCGCTATGCTAAATTTTACTAATTTGCAACTCAGATTTCACCCTGTTTTATTAAATTTATTATTTCTAGGCTACTAAAGCCATATTTGTCATGTGATAATAGTCGCATTATGATCTTATTAGTATAATAAAACCTCTATAAATGCACCCTCTATAAATGCATACACTCTCTAAATGCACACCCTCTCTAAGTGCACGCTCAACCTCTGGCCCAAATATATGCATGACTTCTATAATTGTACTTATTATTATTGTTCTCTAAATGCACATTAAAAGTTCAGTCCCGGGAGTGTGCATTTATGGAAGTTTCACTGTATTCTCTAATCACAATGCTCCCTAAATACACGCTCTAGAGTTGGTCCTGGCAAAATGCATTTGAGTTGTCTGATTGTATTGATGGCAATTTATGAATTTAACGATAAGGGAATGAACTTAAGAGAAAGCACGCTTTTACTACGTATTATTTTTTCGAAGCTTTGAAACTCCATTGAATTATCTTTATTGTAGGTAGGCTTTTGCCGCTTTTGTGATAATTCTTTACAGACTAAAAATGGATTCGATTTTACATATTAATTTTATTTCTTCTACCTATCCTTTTCCTCCTTTGCATTGATTTGTCGATTGATTTCATTTTACAAAATAAAATTTAAAAAAAATAGAACATTGTACTACATCAGATAGAGGATAGAGTAATTCGATTGTCACAATGTGCATTGCAAATCGTAACACGACCATGCAAGTGTTGCCACTTTAGTTTTGCGTTCAGGTTAAAAAGGGTTCATCTTTATTTAATCCTTAACAATGAATTTCGAACTTTATTCCGGAATCAGCTTTGTAGACTTCGGAAAATGCATGTGTTGTAATCAATATAACATTTCTCCAGCTTGGTGCCAAAAATGTGATCCCGCAAAAGCAGCGCAAGGGTGGACAAGTGGAAATAACGTTATCGATAATTATATTAAAAGATCCCAACTTGAGGCTACAAAATATGATGAGGTTATCGAGTGGATTCCCTTTAATAAATTTGGAAACATACAGATCATTAAAGAAGGCTTAAATACAAAATCTTTAGCAGTTTGGATAGATGGCATACGATTAATTTCTAAATGTGACGGAGAATATATACAATCACGTATACCTCAACATACAGTTACACTTATGACATTTTCTGGATTACAAAATCCTGTTGATTTCTTAAAAGATGTAAGTTTAAGTTAGTATTTTAATGTATATAATTTTATTTTATTAATATCTTTTATAAATTCTATCATAATCGTTTAAGGTCGAGGCATATGCACAGTCAACTAATGATTGTAAATTATTTGGACTTACTCGAAATCCATCCACTAATGAATTTATGATAGTACTTGATGAATTTTATCATAGAAGATCCTCTGATAACGGGCAATGTGCACAATGTAGGAGATACAACACTTCTCCAGCTTGGTGTCAAACATGTGATCCCGCAAGAATAGCACAAGGGTGGACAAGTGGAAATAAGGATATCGATGATTATATCAAAATATCACAATTGAAGACTACGGAATATGATGAGGTTATTGAGTGGATTCCTTTTGACAAATTAGAAAACGTACAGAAAATTAGTGAAAGAGATACGAATACAAAACTTTTAGCACTTTGGATAGATGGCATACGATTAATTTCTATTTGTGACGGAGAATACATACAGTCACGTATACCTCAACACACAGTTACACTTATGACTTTTTCTAATTTACAAATAAATCCTGTTGATTTTTTAAAGGATGTAAGTTTGTGTTATATTTTAACCATACAATTTTATTAGCATTTTTTACATGCTTAGATAAATCTATCAAATTCGTTTCTAAGGTCAGAAAATATACACGGTATACACGGTCAACTAAAAATTGTAAATTATTTGGACTTACTCAAAACCCATCCACTAATGAATTTATTATAGTACTTGATGAATTTTATCATAGAAGATCTTCTGATAATGGACAATGTGCACAGTGTAGGAGAAACAATACTTCTCCAGCTTGGTGTCAAACATGTGATCCTGTAAGAACAGCACGGGGATGGACAAGTGGAAATATCGATATCGATGATTATATTAAAAAAACTCAATTTGGAGCTACAAAATATAATGAAGTTATTGAGTGGATTCCATTTAAGAAATTGGAAAATGTACAGAAAATTAGTGAAGGCTTAAATACAAAATATTTAGCAGTCTGGGTAGATGGAATACGATCAGTTTCTAAAGTCGAGAGAAAATATGTACGATTACGCATTCCATGTACAGTTACACTTCTAGCATTTTCCAGTATTCAAATAAAGTTTGTTGAATTTTTAAAGAAAGTAAGTTTAGCTAATATCTATTATATAATTATTAATATAAATAAATATACTTATAAAATTCTAACATATTTATTTCTAAGGTCAAAGAATATAGACAGTCAGCTAATGATTGTAAATTGTTTGGATTTACTCAAAACCCATATACCTATGAATGTATGATAGTAGTTGGGAACGACTATACTTCTCCACCTTGGTGCCAAACATGCGATCCTCTAAGGACAACACAAGGATGGACAAGTGGAAATAACGATATTGATAATTATATTAAAAGTCTTCAACTTAAGGCTACAAGGTATGATGAGATTATCGAGTGGATTCCATTTAATAAGTTGGCAAACATACGGAAAATTAGTATAGGAGATTTAAATATAAGATATTCGGCAGTCTGGAAAGATGGTCTACGATCAGTTTCTGAAGTTGATGGAAAATACATACAGACACGTATACCTTATCATGAAATTACACTTATGACTTTTTCTAGTTTAAGGGAAGTAAGTTAATATTTGAATGTATATAACATTATCATTGTAAATTTATTTTATTATATTTATATAAGTTTTATCGTATTTATTTCTAAGGTTGAAGAATATGTACAGTCAACTAATAATTTTAAATTATTTGGACTTACACAGAATACAACTACTAATGAATTTATGATAGTATTTAAGACTAATGATGATATATATGCTTTTAAAAGAAAATCTAACTATGGAAAATGTACGGATTGCAAACGCTTTAATACTTCAAAAACTTGGTGCCAATCATGTGATCCTTGGAAAGCAGCTAAAGGATGGACAAGTGAAAACAAGGACATCGATAGTTGCATTAAAGAATTTCAATTTGAAGCTACAGAGTATGAAAAAGTAATTGAATGGATTCCTTTCAATAGGTTGAGTAGTATTCAAAAAATTGCACAGGGAGGATTCGGACATGTATTTTCAGCAATTTGGCTAGATGGTAAGCGAGAAATTATTTATGATGGAAAGGAATATATACAGTCACGTACGAAACCAAATATAGTCGCTCTTAAAACTTTACCCAGTTCCCAAACAAGTTCTACTGAGTTTTTGCAAGAAGTATGTAGCTTAACTGATTTTGGTTAATTTTTACGTATTTACTATAAAAAGCATTTACATGAATTATTTTTATTTAATAAGTTTAAAAATCATATGAAGTGTAGATTGGTGGGTAGTAAACTTGAGATCTATGGGTTAACACAAAATATTGCAACGAACCAATATTTAATGGTGTTTCAATATGCAAATAGTGGAAACTTTCGTCAATATTTGAAGGGAAATTTTCAAAAGATTACATGGAAAGATAAATTATTGCGACTAACGGACATATCAAAAGATTTAATTCAAATTCACGAAGCAGGATATATTCATTGTGATTTTCATAGTGGTAATATTCTGCTACATGAAGAGAAACTATGGCTTGAAAAAATAATAAAGTCTTATATTACAGATCTGGGATTGTCACGAAATAATAAAGAATCTACATCAAGAAAAGGAATCTGCGGAGTTTTACCTTATATTGCCCCGGAAATTTTGTTAGGCGAAAAATATACTCAAGCAGCTGACATATATGGTTTTGGGGTTGTTATGGCAGAAATAACCACTGGAATTCCACCATTTGATTGCTATTTTTTTGATAAAGATTTAGCTTTAAAAATTTGTGGCGGATTAAGACCAAACTTTGCACCAGGAACACCTGATTGCTATATCAAATTAGCAGAATTATGTATGAATTCAGAACCGCAAAAACGGCCTACTGCGAAAATGCTTTTTGGTGAATTTTCAAAATGGTATGATTTTATGAATGAACAGGATACAGCTGATACGGACGACGAAATGGATATGGTTGACGAAATGGATATGTTTGATGAATCAGAAGAATTAGATGAGAAATCAGAAATAAGTAATAAATTTTGGGAAGCAGATGAAATAATTAAACAACTACCAATAGCAACACAAAAAAATTTAGATAGCGTATATACAAGCCAGTTTATTGACGTTGAAGAAATTTCACGACGATTTAGCGCAGAAGTTAAATCGGGCAACATTGCTGGTAAATATGTGCTCCGAAGAATTTGTTGGAATTTTATCTATAATGAATGACTAATTTATTGTTTATGCTTTTAGATTCAGGGCTTATTAACTTATATATTAAGTCATCATTTTCTTATTAATCATATTTACTTTGATTGAGTTTGATGTTATAAATTAAAAAAAAAAAAGATTCGTTTGTTGGAAATGAGTAATTATGTAAACATAATTCTTTCTTGATATTTCTCAAAATGGGATCAAAAATAAGATAAATGGGAATCCATCTTATTAATATTTTGCACTTTTGCAGTTCAGTGAACTTTAATACATTAGGGTTTCAGAATTAATAATTTGACGTATTTCAGATAAACTAAATTGCATATTTATTTAAGCAAGAGATCTATGGAACTTTTTTTTTTTTTTAAAGTATATACTTTTTACTTAATTGTTAGCCAGTAGATAATTATTGAAATAAGCTAATTTTATACTTATTTGATTTTCTAATTCGGAATTTAAAACATAAAAATACGTGAACATTGGCTAAAATTTTATGTGTTATAATGATTATATAACAGATAAATAAATGTCCGCTTAGCGCACATTTTGCAGAAATAAAATTTAAGTACTCGATGACATTAAGCGCAATTCAATTCTATACATCCCTGAACTTTGATGTTAAGTTTCATTCCGCCATCTAATTATACATATAACGAAATGTTATCGATGATAAACTTAATTTTTTTTCGCTTCTTCGTGTAATAGCTAAATGTGATGAAGTATATACGTTAATTTTAATCAGGACGGTTGCAACAATATGAATAAACAAGAATATTAGGGGGTTTCAAAGTTAAAATGCGGAAATCCAATTTTAATTGAAATTGATGATTTTGAAATAAGTGATCCGGCAATCTGATCTTATCTTCAACTTGAATGAAAGTTTTACTTTTTATTTATTTATTTT